CTTAGGTTTACTGTAATAACGGAAGTATTCTTTTAAGTGACGAATGGCCTCTTCAGACTTGGTCGATTTACACGGATACAATTTGATATATTTAGTGAAACCGTCAACTATAGATAAGATGTAATTATAACCCCGACCACAACGTTCTAAAGGACCATAGTGATCTATATGTATAGTCTGGAATGGTAGGTTATCTTTATCGAGACTGTGTAAATATCCTTCGGGCTTTCCACTAGGATTTGAAAAATCAATACATCTTAAACAATTGCTTATATGATTTTTTATTTTTTTTCTCATATTTGGGAACCAATATATTCTGGAGGTGTTTTCTACCACCTTGTCCACGCCAAAATGACCTAAATCATCATGGGAAGCTCTAATAACGTCAGTTTCCATACATTCCGGTACCAAGAATAGCAATTTATCGTTACCTAGTTTTTTATATACTAATCCGTCACGTAATTTGTAATATTTATCCTCAGTAGATTCTAATTTTTCTCACAACTCCCGAATTTTCGGATCTTGTGACTGCTTGAAGGAAAGAACTTGCCTCGGCCGGATCCCACTTCTGAAGTTGTAATGGATAAAGGGCGAAGAATTCGAGGCGTGAGATATTTCCTTCTCAAAAGTTCTCTTTATTCGACTGTCGGACTGTCGTCCGATCAGCCATCCCCCCTTCCCAGGCACAAATCTCTTCTCGAAACATAAACAATCCGTTCCTGTGGCGATCATCCCAATGATCGCCTACACTCTCTCTTTCTATCTCGTTACGTAATGGACGATTTTTAATGGACGGAATTTTATCTGAATTTTAATTCCGCGACAGGTGTAAATTGTCTGACACACTTTCAATTATACTTACGGAGAAAGTGCACTTACGTTCTTCGATGTTACAGCTGAATTTTAGAATCTTTATACAAATGTAAATTTTACACAAATTTATATAAATTTAAATTTAAATTTTATACAAATTTATATGAATGTAAATTTTAACATATTCTGACACTCTAACGATATATTAACGAACCCATTAATTCAATTCAGCTGCTGATGCTCATCAACCAAGAGACTATTCATTGATTCTTTTGCCAATTTTAATGACGATGAACGTTTGTTTAATGTATCAAGTACTTACAAGAAGAATACCGAGGTTTAGTAGTTTATAAAGGATCATGAAATTTCAGGAAATATAAACTTGTAAACATAGTAACCAGTGGTAAAAGTGACAATCAACAGAGTTCGCAGCGATATCATTCTCGAAAAAAATATTAAAAATTACTCGAGGACAATCATTATATTTGATCTGATTACGTCGACATCACGCTTTAATAGATTTAACATATTTTACAAACAGCCGTTTTATGAAAATATTCTTACGTGGAATAAATATTACGTAACTCTGATATTACGAAAATTAAAAATGTAATTCAATTTCATTAGCCTACATTAGGAGAAAGCAGAACGATATAGCTCAATAAGTTTAATCACGAGCGTAACGAGTTCAATCGGTAAAATGTTAGCAATCAATCTGACATTCTCTACAAAGTTACTTGATTTTTGAGTTGCATCATTATTCCGTTCCTTTTATTATTTAAAAATTATTACTTCAATACGCTATTAGATATTATACAATATTATCTGCGTCTCTTGGCGATTACATCTTCAATTTTCCTCCAACCCTGACACTTTTACGTTCGTCTTACTTCCGATTATTTTATACGAAAGTATCTGTAAATGTATACTTTTCTGTAACTGTAGCATGCAAGAACGCGCTTATCGCGATGATCGCTACGATCTCCGTGTAATAATCTACTACGACGCCGCGTAATTTATCATTCCGCTGCATCGCTAATAACGCGCACGGAGGGATCGATGCGATTATAAATTGGATGGAAGATCTAACGGTATATACAGATCCTCGCGATAAATGGTACACCGCCTGTGTGTACAACCCTTTGCATTTTTCAACGGCGTCGCTCGCTCGTGTAACAAGAAGCTACATTCGCCAAAGTCATCTCGTTTCCCCGTGATGGAACGAGCTGGATATCATTCGAGAACAGGCATTAAAAAAGAAACGAAGAGAAAGAAGAAAAATTTAGAAAATTTTAAGAAATTTTTATCAACCAAGAGGGGAAACTCGTTTGTCCAATCTCAATCCGCGATCTCAACCCTTCGTCTTTCATCGTTCGTTTCATGTTCATCGACGATGTATGTACATCGCTTCTGTTTCTCGAAGAAGAGCCGAGATATTCGACCGGAGTTTCAGTTAACAGTCCGCGAAATTCGTTGCGTTTTACGAGGGGCAGAGGCTGAAAAGCTGGCGCGGTCCCCTCCCGATATATTAATCGCATTAATTAATTAATTTACGTAATCGAGTTACGCGGCAATTAAGGCACTTACGCGGTTACGCGCCCGGAGAATTCTCGATACACGACGAGGAGGGGAGGGGAGGGGAGGGGAGGGGAGGGGAAAATTTTCTCGCTCGATGCGGAAACGCGTAAAACCGTGCCGAGGAAACGTCGGCTGAAAGACTGGAATTTCTATGGTCTTCCCTCTCCGTGTCTTTCGTACCTTTGTTTCCACTCTCTCGTTTCATTCGCCAAGAAACTTTTATCGCCCGCAGAGAATTTGAAAGGCAGTTGTTTGAAATTAATTGTTCTCTGGTTGTTTGGTAGAAACCGGGTGGGAAATGACTCTGCGCTCTCGCAGCGTTTTGCGTTTCATCTGCCTCTGCGAGTGTATTTGCACTTGTTTCTTGACAAGCAGAATATTCACAATCGGTTGTAAACTGTCGCTCTGTCTGTAACTTACATCGTTGATTACATTTTTCGATGCATCGATCGTTTCAAATTATATTATTTCTACGAAACTTATTCGGACACGTATTCGTAAAAGTAAATACTTTTAGATATTTATTCTTTAGTATTTTGGTCATTTCTATTTAGCAAATTCATTCAATATCTCGTCATCAAGCGACAACTATTTCTTGTCCTCTATCAAAATCAAAAGTCCATAACGATACGCTATTTTAGAATTAAAACTTCAGCGTA